ACGGGTGCAAGTATTGATTTCAAATAGCAGGCATTTATTCCACACTTAAAAGTAGCGGCTACTTTTGGTATTAGGGTATTAGGCAAATTAATGTAGAATTACCTACCTTATATATAATAAATATGGAAGAGCCTTTTGTTGAATATTCTTGCCATAACACTTTATAACTTCATTTCGTTATGTACGCCCGGTATCACGATTGAAGACAGACGCGGACGCCAGACAAACTAGTGGGTTGAAATTGAGTAGGTAGCTGACGGTTGTGCTAAACAGACGAGGAAGCGATACTATTCTACCTGCCTTCATAGATCATACTTTATACTATACCGGTACCACAGAATACATAATAGTAGCAACAGAAATCGCACTCCTTTGTGTAGGATCAGATGCCGACATTTTAACGGTAATAATAATAATGCAAAATATCCAACGCACATGGTGCATTCGAAATCGCACCTTACTACTACGCTCACAAGAGCGCTATTTTTTTGTGTTCAGAATTGATCTACCTCACAGCTCAAGCGTCAGGGTTGTACAAGCAAAGTAAAATAAATAAAAACTTAATTTTAAGAAGCATTTATTGTATTTACGATTGGTAAACTTTAATCTAGTGGTGTTTGTATTCTCTAAAGTACCTATTAATAAACTTCAGTGTTGCGATAATTTAAAATTGGACAAACAGTTTTAAAAGGTGTAGTGTCGGAAAATAGACACGGTGAAGTAAAGTTAATGTTTATATTAGCTAAAATGTTTTTTTGCTACAGTTTTTTGTCATAAGTATTCAAAATTATTTAAAAAGTGTAGTTTTTATTAATTATTTAAATTACTATTATTCCTATATATTACGATTTTCCATTAAAGAAGGATAACAGTGCTGTTGGAACAATAAACCTTGATTGTGATGATGTTCGACCGAGCGTGTATAGGTACGCGTGTGGCGTCGTGGTACACAGGCGCGTGGCGGCCATGACTGATTTGCAACTTGACGTTGTCGCGCGCTGTAGGTAATTATCTCGGCCGGCATAGGCGAGTGACGGAGGCCTGCCGGTACAAAAAATTTTATAACTACGGAAACTTGTTAAGAGTCTGTTTTAGTCGCTTAGTCATTTCTTTTATCGGCTTAAAGCCGAATATATACCAAACAAAAATCCGACGGTTTCAACTTTACTCATGCTTAGAAAACCTTTTTGTTTATGTATAGCATTATCTTACCAAATCTTCGAAAATCAACTCAAACCATCACAACACACCGGTAACTAGGATCTGCAACTTGGAGCTTGGGCGCCAACATAATCTTAACCAATTTTAGTTAGGGAGAAATAATAATTAGCATCCGACACGAAAGGGGCCGCTATCAGCGTTGCCAGACGTCCCGATTTTGGCGGGACGTCCCGATTTTTAAATCAAATTTAAATGTCCCGCGCGGGACAGGCTCGGTCCCGCTTTTCGGAGAGAGACACTCACTTCACCAGACTATTGTTTGAAACGCCATATTATTCTAAAGAATAAAACTTTTTAATTTTTTTATTTTTTTTTATTCTAAAGACGAATTTAAGCGATAGAGTAAATCTGATTTAAAATATTATTTTTTTGTTAAAATACATTTTCTATGGCTACTTTTGCTATCTATTGTCACGTAAACGTAATTTTAAGGGCTGATTTTTCAACCGTCGGATAACTTTTAACTGAAATAATAAGTTTGGCAGATTGACAGTTTTAGTACGGGAAATTGTCAAAATGACAAGGTTATTCTTCAGTTAAAAAATATCTGACGATTGAAAAATCATGNTAGTCACCGCCTGCCATTTTTTCAGTCCGAGACTATGAACCAGGCAGGTGTCCCGTAGTCTCCATCCATAGCCCAGTAACCAGTCCCTCCATCCTTCATCCATAACCCTAGTCCATTCTTCAATAACTGCAATAGCTCCTGATATAGATAGATATAGTCAGAAACTAGATCCAGCATGTGCACCACTTTCACTTTTGTCGATTATTTTGCGCTTAAAACGGCCTCTACGTGTTGGATCTGTATCCCCACGCAAGCCTTATAAAGGACCGGGCCACTTTTGACCCGTGAGCTCCAAAGCACACAAATCATAATTATAATCGACATACACTCTCTAATCCTACTAATATTATAAATGCGAAAGTTTGTGTGGATGTCTGGGTGTTTGTTACTCTTTCACGCAAAACCTACATGACGGATTTTGATGAAACTTTATAGTATTATTGTTTATAACCCAGAATAACATATAGGCTATAATATATGACGATCTGTGACAAACTATAATATAACATAGGTGCTCACTAAGACGGGATTTTGCAAAATTCAATCCCTAAGGGGGTTAAACAGGATCCACGCATACGAAATCGCGGGCGGCCGCTAGTAATTAACATACAGTCACATTTATGTATACTTAACTAAAAGACATTATAACATTATGATTTACTATTAACATTGAAGAAAAAATATGTTCAGTTTTGTTTTTATAATAAAAATAAATAACCTGATACTTATTATTATATTTTTTTCTTTTTATCAATATTATTTAGGTAAGCAAACAGTCTACTGAATAAATTATTATCACTCTTATATTTAAGTCAAATAATGACATTCATAGTAGTAGTAGTAAATAATTTAAATTGTAATTTTTGTGGAATCACCCGTCTACCAACGTCAAACCCTGTAGCACCATTAATTAGACATTTTATTTTACTGCTATCAAATTTTAATTTATTGATGTAGTTTATGAATGCATTTTGAATTAGGTTCTCAGTGTTTTTTAAATCATATAAATAATCGAAGACAAATATGTTAGAACTACACCTATTTTAAATGAATAAAAACGCCTGGCACCGTCTCCAAGACAAAATTCACTCCGCTGAAACATTGCTGTTCTTTATTCGACAGGAGTATAGTTATAGAAATAAATAAAAAATCATAACAAAGAAACCATACGTAATGCAGGTCATAATACACAACTACCGGGAGGTTTAAAATGAGATCTAAATCATGGAGTAGTTTGTTTTATAAAATAATTAGTCGTTTTGTAGAAACAGCTTGATCCCGTCATCTTGATGCGTCAAAATAACGGGATCAGTATTGACCTTTAATAACGTCTGAACGNGAAGGATACCCCTTTAATAACGTCTGAACTAAGAAAGTATCTAAATTTATTTGTAGGAACAAATAGGTTTAAAATGAGTACAAAACAATGGTGGCAACGTCTGTTTAATACAAGAAGTGATCCCGTCATCTTGACGTTCATNCAAAATAACGGGATCAGTATTGACCTTTAATAACGTCTGAACTAAGAAAGTACCTAAATTTATTTGTAGGAACAAATAGGTTTAAAATGAGTACAAAAAAATGGTGGCAACGTCTGTTTAATACAAGAAGTGATCCCGTCATCTTGACGTTCATGAAAAATCAGCCCTAAGTCAAATAAAAAGATAAATATTTGAAAACCTTTGATTTTAAATGTATACGTTTTTTTACTATGTCCCGCTTCTGACGGAAGAATCCAGCTATTTTACTCAAAAAGTACCAAAGTCCCGACTTGGCGAAAAAAAAAACTGGCAACGTAAATCAAAAATTTAGTTAGGATTCTGGCTTTTTTTTAGTATTGACAACGCGGCGTGAGATGTCTCCTGTCTATGGAGTTAAAGAAAAAAGAAGTGGTCGGCGATTTGTTTCATGTTATCGACCAAGAAAACCGCCGAAAAACAAACCGCCGTTGTAAGGGATGCCTAAAAATGCCTTATGTCTGTCACCGTAAAATTGTGAATTTCGTCAGATTATAATCTGACGAAGTTAAATTACAATCTAACCTAACCTAACCCACTGTTAGTTTACAATCTAACGCGTTATATTATAAACTGACAGAGTTCACAATTTCACGTTGACATGTCCATTATCTAATGATTAAGTTCCGAGACTGGAATAATGTAAAGTCAGGGATCAAGCAAGCACAGTGGATAATGTCTAGCAGACTGAGGTGATTAAAGGGATCCTTATGGAATACCTAGATGCTTTATTCATAGTGATAATAATGTCAATTTCTTATTTTACTTAAAATGATATTCTTGGTAAAGTAAGGTCTAATGTTCTTAAATAACAGATTTTTTTTTAAATTATAAACTAATAGGTAGTTACAAATAATGCTTAAATAGTATAAGATTAAGATTTAGTAATAATATTTTATTAATAATAGGACATTATTTTAAATTTCTTGCAATATTGTATACATATACATATTTTATATTTATCTTGATGTATTTTTTTATTTCTTTGCCAGTTATTTGACTGAAAAGCTCAAGGCTTTCACTACATGCATCTTAGATTCTGGGTAAATTATTATTAAGTAGGTAATTAATATATTTATTTATTTTCTTTATTTTAAAAACATACAGCACACATGAATGAATTTAAATTTAATTTGAAATAATTAAATAGTTAGTTTCTTAAAAATGAAAATTACTTATTTATTTTTTGCATGAAATAAAATAAATGACCTATGTACTCACTTGTTTTTTCTATTTTGAGGCACATTTTTATTGTTGGATGATTATTTTGCCAGTTTTTTTCATTCATAGACTTGATTACCTCAGATTTTTAATATCATAAAAAGGTAGGTATTAATACAAAATTACATAAAAAATGGCAAATGATACCAAATAATGATCTTTCCAATATTATGAATGATGGTTCATAATTAATATGCCTCACAAGATAAATGATAAAACTTGTTATCTATACTAATATTATAAATGCGAAAGTAACTCTGTCTGTCTGTCTTGCTTTCACGCCTAAACCACTGAAGCGATTTTGATGAAATTTGGCAAAGAGATAGTTTGTGTCCCGTTTATACCTATGATGAAAATTAACTTATCAAGCAGGGAAAAATATCTTTTCCCTTCAATAGGACACCACAATAGGCTCATATTAAAAATGAGAAAACTTCTATTTTTTAAAACTTTTGATGTAATTAATTACTCACCTGTACAATACTTTTAGAAATGTCCCGAACCCCCGACAAGTTGCGACATCACCGGTGTATGTTATAGTCATTTTAAAGTTAAATATTAAATATAAAATGTTATATCACAAAATATGGAATTTTATAATTTCATTGTGGGAATGTCTTTCAAAAACAATTTAAAAGTAAGGACCTTTATAGTCAGTATGTTCGGCCTTAAATATAATCGACCATAACAATAAATTTTGAATAAAACAATATATAAACAAAGTTCATCTTAATAATATTTTAATAAAACAATCAAACACGATGTTTTAATCGCACTGCACTAGGTACCTTACTTTAAAAATTCACAACACAATGTGCAACACAACAAAACTGAATCAACGTACTGACCACAGATATGGATTAGAGGTACTGACCAGAGCCCCGATTACGGTATTTTTTACCGTCAACAATCCAGACACGCTTCTCGATTCTGCGATACGATTGGTCGTTCAACAGCGTACGTCAGCTGTTTTGACCAATCGTATCGCAGAATCAGAAACGCGTCTGGATTGTAGACGTTATAAAAGTTACCGTAATCGGGGCTCAGACCAAAGAGCATAAAAGAGTATTGACAAAGAAACCGCAACTGACTGATGAACGAGAACGACGAACCGATCAACCGACCGGGANCTAAATTTATTTGTAGGAACAAATAGGTTTAAAATGAGTACAAAACAATGGTGGCAACGTCTGTATAATACAAGAAGTGATCCCGTCATCTTGACGTTCATGCGGAAGAAACTCACACCTTTCAGTCAATATTCAAGGAGTCGTCTTATCTGTTGGTTTTCCGAATAAAATAAAATAAAAATAAATAAAATAAAATAAATCCCTCAGGGCCAGCTGAACTTCTGCATCGTGGTGGTGGAGCCGTACGAGCACGGGCTCAACCGCGTGTTCATCAAGAGCAAGGACGAGCGCGTGCGCGGCACGTTCCTGGCGCACGCCGACACGCACGTCGTGTCCGACTGCAACGTGGCGCTGCTGGCGCGCCAGCTCGCGCTGCACGCGCACGTGCGTACCCTAGTTTATACGATGTATCCAATTCTAAAAATGTATATGAAATCAGTTCACCGAAATTACATTCCTGAGATGGGCGTTGTTTTACAAATCCACACCCTGTATAAGGCCTCACAAGGTAGGTACAGTTTATTTATTTATTTATTTATTTATCTTTATTAAAGAAACATACAGCCTTATTCGACACATGCAGCTTAAAATTAAGCGGGTTATACATTGGTTCCCGAGACATAAGCTGAGCTTTACATTTGTGTGAGTGCATATGAATAGTGTGGGTGTGACAGTTTATATCCTGGTGCGTATGGTCCATAGAGGGATTACGTCTACCGCTTTTTGAGAATCCGTCTGAAGCGCAAGTCCGACTCTGTCACACTCCACCTCCCGTGCCGCAGTCGAACTGTAGTCACGTGACGTTGTTTTACCAATGGTCCGTGACCCTCACTCGGCATGGGGCACACTGAAAACCAGCGCCGTGGCCTTCGTCACCGTGGGCCACGGCATATGCTGAGTGGGGTCCCGTTGCAGTGGGCATCTTGTTGGTGGATGGGTGGCACTGCTCAGTTTACTCTTGTTTTTATTTTTTCTTCTTCCATTATTATGTGCCACTGTCATGTCTATGTAATTGCCTGTATTTGTGTGATGTCCATTGTAATAAATGTGTCTTTCTTTCTTTCTTTCTTTCATTCTAACGCAAGCCGTATGTCCCGCAGCTGGCGGCGCAGATCTCGCAGTCGCTGACGCTGGGCGGCGCGGCGTACGCGTCCAACTCGCTGGAGCGCCTGCGCCTCATCAAGCGCCTGCGCCGCCGCCTCGAGGCCGAGCGCCTGGCCGCCGCCGCGCGCCCGCCCGCGCCCTACGCGCCCGCGCCGCCGCCCGACCAGGCGCTGCGCGTCGCCGTCGACGACTTCAACGCCTACGCCTAGACCGCCCGCCCCGCTCCGCCCTGCGCGAAGTCGCGATGGCGATGGAACGACCGACATGCGATTGAGACGATTTTGAGCTGTAAAAAAATCAAAAGAGAAACGCGACGCGACAACCGTCGCCTCCGGCTTTCTGTCGTCGATGCGCGGAACGTGTCGGTCGCGCGGGGCGGCGGCGGCGTCCACCTCCGATCGGAACCGAAAATGTGTCCACGACTTTACGTCGACGTAAACGCGGGCGTGCAAACATTTTCGGGTCCGACCGCGCGCGGGAGCGGCCCCGCGTTACGAAGATAATGTTATAATAATGTATGTACTCGTGATGGTATGTAAAAATTAACTTAGCACAAAACGGTGTGTGCTATGCGACAAAATTAATGATTCTCACATGTATTTCGCCGCCCGCGTGAATTATTTTAGGATAGTCTCGATAAACTGTTGAGACGGAAAGTGTGAAATTTATTATCTATAGGCAAAAATGAACTGTATTTCGAGCTAAATCCGATTAACTGATAAGGTCCTTGAAATCACATTTTTTTGTAGGTCAAAGGACCGATTCTGATTCACGAAATGTTAACGATAGCCTTGGCGATTGGAAGTCGTGCATGCATAATTTTATTACATACACCTAAATTTAGTTTTCCCTTTTTGTAAAAGTTCAGAATCGGCCCTGTGCCTGCACGAAGCCACTCGCACCGGCGCGCTGCCCCGCCGCGTGTTTATGTGATGGTTGACAGCTTGCATTGCACGACTTGCAATTTATAGAATTAGAAGGGTTTAGATACTCGCCCCGCCAGATGTATCTGTAAGATGGAGCGACCTGCAGCGCGCCGCTAGTGTAATTTTATGTATGGTAAATATTTCATGGTGACTTTCGTCAAAGTTGGCCCGACTGATGTTCCAAAGATTAGTAAAGCAAACCGGATATGGGTGTTAATTTTTTCATTTGAGCAATATTATGGAAGGCTGCGCGCAGACTGATCTGAATACGTTTTTTCTTGATCTTGGCGATAAATAAGTGAGTCTTTGTTGGAGTCCATCGCACTTTGTATTTCTGTTTGATTGTTCAAGAAAATACGGATACTACCGAAACTATAGACGGAAGCGGCTTTGGCCTAACTTTAGCCCTTAAATGGAGCACTCAGCGTTCTGTTCACAAAGAAATCTGTAAAGTGAAAGCTCTTCACGTGTATAGTTTAGCTAGCATCGACGCCCGTTTAATCACTAAATACCTAAAACAAAACCACTTCGATGCAAAGATCTTCGCGGCGTCTGCGCGCAGCCGAGGCAGCTAGCGCAAGCCAGTCGGTGAGCACTCCGTGACGTCATCAACGCAACCGTCCCGTCCGGGCGACGCTTCGCGGCGGCAGCGAACCGTTGGTTCATTTCAAAACTCGCAGCGTCCCGAGCGGCTCCGGCGGGAGCTGCGCGACGGTGGTATAGTATTTTGTTATAATAAACACAAGCTTTAACCGTAGTGCACCGCCGCCGCGCCCGCCCCGGCCGCTGCCGCCGCGCGCGCCGCCCGCCCTCGGCCAGACGCGAACACGACTGCAGTTGTAACGTAATACCCGCGAGAAGCACGTTTACCGAACACGCACCTTAATAATTTTATCATCCTAAATAAATACATTGTATTTTAATCTATTACATTTTTAAAATTTTTTGTGTGAGATGTGATAGTAGCGTAACATTATAAATAAAATATGAAATAGTAATATGAGGTACATTATCAAACTGGCAAGTTTTCTACTCGATTCGCTACGCTTTCGGGATCTCGGGGCCTCGAGCGCTCCCCCGCCCGGAGAAGCCCGGCCCGCGACGAGCGGCCGCAGTATACGTTGCACCGGACGCAGAGCCGCGCCTCTATAGGGTATCATATTAAGTAATGTCGCCGACCAAAGTATGTAAAACCGAGCTCACAGCGTGCACTAATTAATAATAGTTCGATGTAAAGCATGATATCTACCGTAACCGTTTAATTTATATTTCTGCCTAGACTGTTTGTGGCTTACTACCGACAGTGCCGGGCGGTTTCGCTCGGCCTCACGCCGCACTCATCGTTAAGCAGTTGAGCATTTCTTGTTGAAATATTTTATGTAGCAATTTATTTCCTGACGAAAGATTTTGTAATCAAATAAATGATGGCTATTTTTTCTTATGTTTTATTTACTAATTTCCCTATACCTTAGAAATCCTTTACTAGACTTATTCAGGTCAACGGAGAGCAGAAAGCGAACCACTAACCACATTTTATGCCTGTGCTTCAACTGAAAAGAGTAGATGCTCAGCTACATAATGAAACACTCATCTGATTCTATTCTTTAGTCTCTTAATTTCCCTTTTGCCCTGCAGTTCACTAATAACCGTGCTACTTCCACTGAACTGAATGAGGCTAGTATTTCAAACTATTTACAAAACACACTAAAATAGCATCTACTTATGTACAGTAAACACGAGCACGTGTCAGTCCTTCTTGTCGTCGAGGTGGCGGCGCCACACCTTGACCTTGCCGCGCAGCTCGCGCAGGCGCCGCATCTCCTCCTTGAAGTCCTGGTGCTCGTCGCGGAACAGCCCCAGCTCGCGCAGCCGCAGCACCAGCGCGTGCGTCTCCACGTGCCGCGGGTAGTACTCCACGATCTCCTTGTCGGAGTGCAGCGGCCGCGCGGAAAATATTTTCACCACCTTCATCGACTTTGGATTGGTGGGAATGGCGACTTCGCCGAAGATCCGGTTGGAGAGCCGTCTCATGCGGGAGGCGTAGTTTGTAGATGCGTTTATTAACTTTGCGTACTTTGTATAATTCGTTGCCATCGTAAGGACTGGAAAGTAAATAAAATTTATTGTTGTTTACCCACAAAAGAGTAAAAAATGAATTTCATACGACAAGAAAATATTTTACTGTACCGTTGCGCGGAACTTAAAAGCACATAAATTCGCCAAATGTAGTGCTATTCAACTAAATATTTTGTGTAATTCAATGAAACTATTCATTTAAAAACAAATATTTTGAGGTTATTAACATAACCTTTTGACAATTGATTGATTTGACATCAATGACGTCTGTTCTTTTTTTTTAATTTCTCAATTCTCAGGCAGGATAAGGCCAAATAAACTGTACAAATAACAACAACCTTTTCCTGTAAAAGGAAAGAATCGAACTAATATTCATCAGTAAAGCGCCAAAAGACATTTCAGCTGAAACTCTAGAAAAGGGGAGATAAAATCTATCATCTCACTAAGCCGGGTCTCCACTTCTCCAGTGCGTGTTTTGTTTGCCCTACCTACACAATAAAGAAAAACATGTCAGCATTGTCATTAAACATCGTAAATTTTTTGTAGGCAATTTTGTTAAATGCCGAGATGTTTTTGTTGATGATGTAGGGCAAAAGACGCGTTAGAGACCCGGCTATACATCAAACTAATAAGTTTAGGGTCATTATCAAAATCTTAAGACTTGGCTGTAATATATTGTGCCTTTGCCTTTTCCAGAAAAGGACAAAAAAATATTATTGAAGGCCAGCTGTCATTAAAATTACTTGCTGACAGCTGTCACCAAAAAAATAAATAAATAAATAGGTAATTTGGTTTTGGTGATCGAGAGCAATTTTACTTCTGAAAACTAATCGCCAGCCATCACATTTATAAAACTATCCACGTCTCGCTTCACCTAAATTCATTTCATTGAATTCCGCACGAACTTCGTGCCAGCGGATCGTGTCGGTGCACCAAAGTTTATACACGAGCAATAAAACAATAACATCTGAATGTCTCACCTTACACAAATTCCGGAGGTTGTGGTTAAACCTGTAAGTACTTTTTCGTCGTCGGAGCGTCCTTGATCTGTAAGTTAGTTGTACCTAATGTTTGACGATATTATTCTGTCGATGCAGGGTAACATGATCAACTACTGGTCATCAAAGCTCAAGCTCGGCGCACTGCTGCTGGCCCTGGCGCTGTACGTGTACGGCCTCCTGTTTATCAAAACTATTTATATGAAAAGCAAAAGGCTGGACCATGTAATGGCTATGGTGAGTGCTGATACTCTTTATGCTTGCCAACAATATCATTGTCATAATCTCACCCATTGTTTTAACACTACATTACTATTGGTTCCAGGCCATGGACACTGACAAAATGATTAGCAATGTCCACAGCATTGATCAGAATCTTGCTGCAAAAATGGAAAGATTAGGCAAGTTGTATGAAGACTATTGACTGGAAATTTGAAAATTAACTTTACTTTAAATTTTAAGAATCTCAATTTACTTACACATTTGTGGTGCTTCCCTAACTGTTAAATGCTTCAAATAGTAACAAAAGCAGGTGCTTGTTTAAAACTAGTATGTTATTTACAATATGTTGAAAAAATAAAAATAAATTGTTAATTGCATATAGAAATTGAAAACGATTCACTATCAGAAGCATAAAATGGTTTAAGTAAAATGTACTGGAAATGTAACTCGAGGCAATGAGCTTGAAAAATAACTATCAGTATTTAATGAAAAAGTTGAAGTCTGTCTTATTTGACGTATATAATTTATAGATTTTAAATATATGTAAGTAAACAAAGCATTTCATCATAAATTATGCTAAACTCAATATTTCAATATCATGGGTGTTAAATATCAATTCTGATCCCATATAAGTAATTTATGGATTGTGAAGATGGATTATTAGGCTATAAGCTGGGCAAGTGTAGTTTTGTCTTCTTTGTTGTTAGATTGTTCACAACTGTACTCGAATAGTTACCGTTAGTATATTTAAGTTATTGTGCAATTTTAAACTGCATTAATTAGTAGTTTATTTAAATTTAGGAGAATTATATTTTATTTATTAAATATGTAATAACATCTAATTGTGTAGTTTTATTACTTTCATGAAAAAGATAAATTAATGAAGCCATGAGATTTATTAGTGAAACCAACATTATTATTAACTATACTTTTATTCATATAGCTAATTAAATTATAGTTGGTGTTAACACCAACAGTACTTAAATTATGTAGGTACTTGATAATTTTAGGATCATTATTATTTAATATTATTATAACCATGTTTTTTTCTTTATGAGTATTATTGATATCACAGAATGATAAAAAAATAGGTATAGGGCACTCAGTTTTCTTACATTGACAAGTGTAGATTAATTTCTGCTCTATAAAAGAAACAAATTCATATACTTACATGCTAAAGAACATAGAATACTAGCAAATAGATGTAGTGATATAAAATAGCTATACCCACCACCATAAATAATCACACACTTTAGAAGTCTCACCATTACATCCGAGTAAAGCGAGTTCTAGCGGCGGGACTCGCCAGGATCTTCAGCGGTGACAGCGAGTCATCGTAGCGTATTCACAACGAAGAACAGTCGTCTCACGCTTCACCACCGCCATTCAGGAGTTGGCCAAAAGTTTACTCATGTAAAGTAAAGCCTAAGTCGGACGATTGAAGGTCGAGACATCTCCCGGTCGCGGCGGGCGGTTAGCGCGGGTGGTGGTGCGGCAGGCCGTTGTCGAGGCTGCGGCAGGCGTCGCGCTCCAGCACGGCGGCGGGCGCGCACCGCCAGGGATCGCGCGTGCTGCGCTGCCACGCCGCCAGCCGCGAGCGCAGCGCCGCCTCCACGCCCGCCAGCGACGGCTTGCCTGAGACGATTCAAAGTGTATAAAAGCCTGGTCCGTGAGCACGTAGAATCCCGTCCAATGACCCCAAGCTACCCATCCTTGTCGCTCGCACGTAATTATGTTCCTGTCGCACACTCACTGCGGGCGCGCGTCGCACAGTCGCGACAGCAATATAATTACGCGCGAGCGATAAGGATGGGTAGCTTGGGCCGGGGGATTACTAATGTTTGGCCAAAAAACGTTTCCCAAATTATCACATCGCAAACAACGNATTGATCTCAGCTATTTATTCTAGAAAGGATAGTGCCTTTGGTCTGGATGGTGTTGCATACATTATGTTAAAAAAATTGAGTGAAAATGGTTTACAAGTGTTTCTTAGAGTTATCAATAATTTGTGGCTAAATAATGATATTCCTGACTCATGGAAGTCCGATTGTCTGATACCTATATTAAAACCAGGTAAACCAGACTCAGACCCAAGTTCTTATCGTCCAATCGCTTTAACATCCTGCGTTGGTAAAGTTTTTGAGCAATTATTAAAACAAAGGATAGAATTTTATGTAGAACAAAACAGTATTTTACCTGCTAATCAATTTGGGTTCCGAAGGGGAACATCTTCACGTGAAAGTATATGCCAGCTACAGCTTGACATTCAGAATAGCTTTAATAATAGTAACTTTTTAATGTCTATATTTTTTGATGTTGCTGGAGCCTTTAATAGTGTCAATATTGATATTCTTGGATCTGAATTACTTTCTATTGGAATTCCTAACAAAATAGTTCATTGGGTTCACAAGTTCTTGACTGAAAGAAAAGTATATGCTAAGTCTGATGGTAGATTATATGGTCCAAGATATGCTTCTGTTGGTGTTTGTCAAGGTGGAATTCTCTCTCCATTGATTTTTATCTTGTATATTCGTCGTTTAAACTTAATTTTAGGTACAGAAGTCAAAAGTCTTCATTTTGCTGATGACTTGGTTGTCTATATTTCTGGAAAAAATTTAACAAATATTACTAATATACTTAACAAATCTCTGCAAGGACTTTGTAAATATTTTTCTTATTTGAATCTTGATATAAATGCATCTAAATCTAAATTAGTTCTCTTCGGTAAAACTCATAACCACATTCCTTCAGTGAGCTATAACAATGTTCCCATTCCTGTTTCTCAAGAAGCTAGGTTTTTAGGTGTNCTAAATTTATTTGTAGGAACAAATAGGTTTAAAATGAGTACAAAACAATGGTGGCAACGTCTGTTTAATACAAGAAGTGATCCCGTCATCTTGACGTTCATGATAAAATGTCTCATGTAGGTAATAGGTATTTGGCTTAACGTGAAGTGAGCAAGTGAGTGTAGATAAATGTTACTATCATAGTGATACCAAGCGATAAGTCAGTCCAGTTTTGTATTGTCGTTGATTGCTAGATTCTAGAAAAATAAGTACAATATTTCATAATTGTGATTAATTTAGTTTTTAGTTCGACTAAAGTCAGAGTGTACCTACTGGGAAGGAGTGTCGCCATATACAAAAAAAAGTAGCTCGAAAGTTTATCATCAAGAAAAACTAAGAGAAAAACAGACTACCACAACAATCAAAATGCCGGTAACTCTCTACGGAACAATTGTGAGCCCACCGACCCGGGCCACATTGATGCTGATAGAAATACTCGGCATTACCGTTGATTTTAAAGAAATAAACTTACCCACAAGAGAACACTACAAACCTGAGTATTTGGCAAAGAACCCGCTCCACACAGTTCCAATCATCGAAGACGATGGCTTTACGGTCGTAGACAGTCACGCCATCATGACTTATTTGGTTACAAAATACGGCGGCGCCAATCATTGTAATATGTATCCCCAAGAATTGAAGTTGCGAACGCTGGTTGACCAGAAACTATACTTTGACGCGTCTGTCCTCTTTCCTAGAGTTCGCAATGTGATCTACGACATCGCCCTTGGAGGTAGCAGTTTAGGATCTCCGCACCCGACGCAATTTCAGTTGAAACAAATAGAAGAGGCTTATGCATTTGCTGATGCTTTTCTTCAGAAGACAAATTACATAGCAGGAGACGAGTTGACTGTTGCAGATCTGTCTTGTGTGACGACGATATGCTCGCTGGATACTATAGTACCGGTCGATTATGAGAAGTACGACAAGTTATATGCGTGGTGGGATGGTTTGAAGAAAGAATCTTGGTATCAGAACAAGAACGTTCCAGGAGCGACACTGTTTAGCGATTTTATGAACAGTTTATTGAGACGACGCTAGCAATTTTTTGAAGGTTTTTATCAAGTCCAATTAAATAACTTATAACTATTATCTTTTATTTGCTTTTCTCTTTCATTTCTTGATTATTGCATTATGTTAGTTATTGTTACGCACTATGGTTTATGTTGAGTGTGCAAGTGACTTCTGTCATAGTAGAAAAGTTCTCAACCACTCTACCAAATCGGTACATACATACAGGCTGTCTCAAAATTTACCACGTCGCACTGACACTAGAGGTAGCTAGGCTTAAGACGCATCGAACAAGCTAAATTTCCCATAGAAAAGTTTGATTAGTTTTGAAATGTAACTGATTATTATTCGATAGATTTATTCGATTCGTCTTAGGCTCGTCTACCTCGAGTGTGGAGTAATTTTGGGACAGCCTGTATAAGATTTAAATTAAAATCCATTCCTAAAATGTTCCAAGTAATAAATGAGTGTGTTGAAGTGTAGGGGTACTTGAAAAGATCAATTCATAGACCTCCAGGAAATATCTATCACAATAAAACCACCGATCTCAGCTAATATTCTGACATTTATTTACATGGTTAAAATATGTAACGGTATTTATCACTCGAACACGACGTCACGACACCCATTGCGCCCGACTATGTTAATATACAAAACGCTACCCTATCAGAATCCTCACCCTAAATACCTTTACAAAATTTACATATACATAATATACTCTCATAAGACAAAACTTACAATAAAAACCTATACTAACACCGTTGGATATAAAAAATTATGGAATCTTTTAAAAATTATATCTTTATTATTAATTTAAAATGGTATTTCAACATTAAAACGTAATGCGTCTATTTGTATGTTAAAAAATATAAACATTGTTATAATATGTATTCTTAAAAATAGATTTTATTCAATTTGAACGTACCTACTTAAACTAGGCGATTTTTGGGGCAAATGAGTTACTTTCATCACCAAGCGTCAGTGATAACAACTTGTTTACATTTTATATTAAATTACGTAAGAAAATATTTCAATGACGACAAGTAACAGAATTTGGGTTACTTTGGGATGTATGGTAACACTGCCTGGTCACATCATAGACAATAAATTGGGTTACGATTCTAAAAATCATAGATAAAGTAATATACACAATAGGACAATCCTATTTTTGTGATGTAGGTGTAGAAAATTGTGAAGTAAAGGCAAATTCATTAAAATACTTGTATCCCAGAGTAACATTGAAACATTACTTACAAAACAATTAAAAATGAACAATGTCCCGTTGATACACGGTTTATTTTTGTTTGAAATTAGACACCACGTCACATTAAAGCTCTTATATTATCCCATTTGGTGCATATTTGAGAACATTCTCTAACGCCCGTATTCACAAACATTACTATGAGGTCTCACAGTGCGCGTGGACGCACAGGGTGACACACGAACCAATCACAGAGCTCTATTAAACGCTGTGCGTTCGATTTGCTGCTTCATTTAAGCAAGTATCGTTTGTGAATACGTGCGTAATATTATCATGGTATGGCGACGACTAATATTGGGTTACGTAAAAACGATTCCTAATATAATCCAAAAATATGAACAGTAACTAATCATCCATTATTGACAGTAGTGCCCTGCTGTCAATGTCATATCTGGGTGACTATACTAATAATACACTTGACTGGACTCACTTTTAGATCAAGTTTTGTACATAGTTTCTTGATGAAGTCAAAAATTCAACACATTAAGTATTTGAGCAATGGACCAGAAGTTCAATACTCCAGTTTTATTTTTGTAATTTTCTGTAGAAATCAAATTATTAAATAGGTAATTGAGTATTGACCCGGTATTTAATTTGGACTTTCCCCTTCAATACAAGGCACACAAAGTACAGTTTAGATTGAACTACTTCACCCAATACCAGTCGTCGCTATACCATGACGTGACACATCACACGTGCTTTGTCTCTCTCTTATCTCACTGGTCAGACAGAGACAAAACATTTGCGAATCGTTAACAGCATGACACCGAGTAGCAACAACGAAAGTTAGAGAGCTACCTACGTAATAAGGTGGTTAGTACGCGGTCGCGGTCTGAATTTCTTTATTTGTTAATACTAAAAGTAGGCAAAGTGAGCTTGAATTTAATATTCTTCCTCCTTACTAATAAACTTTTCAATGAGCGTGTAAAGTACGTGTAGTTCAGTGAACGTCAGTTCAGTACCTATGGAGGTATCACTTTAAAACAGTGTTCAACAAGTGTGTAACTTTTTTTAGTAAGGGGCTTCGAATTTTTTCAATTCGCAAAATGGTCACTCAGATAAAAGTTAAAGCCTACGACTTTTGAAACAATAGTTCAAACTTGTAGGTTGAAAATTTTAAACAACTTTTATCTGAGTGACCATTTTGCGAATAAAAAATAATGGATGAACAGAACATTTTTGAATTCGTTTTGAAATGCAAATGGGACAATCTGCGTCAAACCCTGCTCATCAACATCACCCTTCAACTCAAAGAGGATTCATGAAAAGTCTTGATTTAAGATGAGCACACTCAAGCCAAAATTTTCAACTCAGAAGCCGGGTTGCCTTTCTTGGAGCTTTCAGAATTGAGCAACAAATATTTCCTCAATTAAATTTATTTATTAGAAATGTCTATTACAAAGCAATATGCCGCAACCGCATCAACCCACTCCGAAAATATACACATTACATCAGTCAAAGTGGAAAATTTTTCAATATAATATCTTATAAACAACACGCTAGAGGATTTCTATAGTTAAAAATATTATGGAATAACATTTGAAATATCACGCAAACTACTTCAACTTTTGGACGACACGAGAGAATTTGAGAGGAATATTAATTGTTGTCCGTTTTAGATGAAACAATGCACGGTATAGGTCACATAACTTAGTGTCTGAGTCATGGGAGCGATACGGGAGGGCACACGTTAGCGACCTTCAGTCTCAGAATGTCCAATTTGCAAAATGTCAAGTGGTAACAAAATGTCAAAGTCTCAAAATGCAAGTCGTAAAACGTCCAAATCGCAAAATGTCCAAGTTTCAAAATGTCCAAGTTGCGAAATATCCAATCTCAAAAGTTCCAAAGTTTCATAAGCAATTATGAAATGAAAACTCTTTTAGAAACTTTGAACTTTTAAGACTTGGACATTTCGCAACTTGGACATTTTGAGAATTGGACATTTTGCGACTTGGATGTTTTGCGATTTGGACATTTTGAGACTGACATTTTGCTACCACTTGACATTTTGCAAATTGGACATTCTGAGACTAAACCGTTAGCGACACTTCAGATTTGAATGCTCAGTCACGTCATAAATATCAATGTCACACCTCCCGTGCGGTCACATACTTCCAGCTCTGACTCAGTTAAGCGGCTATCTATAGTACCTTTTTTGCAACAACAATGTATCTGGAAGAATAAGTTCTAAATTGAACCTAGTTGAATTAAAAATACTGGCTACATTGTAACATCTAAAACAGACACGAGTAAACAACAACATTGTAATAACAAGAATGCGTCAAATTGCAATTTAAAACACCGCCCACTTTTGCGCGTTAATATTTATTTTTATTAATCAACCTAAATTATTTGTGTGAAGTCTATTACGATCCAAAATTTTATATAATCATTAAAACAACGAATCGTTATAATTTTCACAAGAACTGACTAATCTATAATTATAACGCGCAAAAGTGGTTAGTTCAACAAAAAATACAGTCCAACAGCGATATTTAGGCCAGTGGATTTCAGAATACCACTAATACCTACCAATAAACCTTGTTCGCATCAGTCGAGTAATTTAGTCGGATGTAGTTTAGTCACTAATCCTAGGCGCAGAGCTCCGATTCTTAGTTGGGCGATAGTTGGGTCGGGCTGTTGATCAGTATGGAGATATATAAAAGTTACACCGACTTGGTATCGGCCGAATCTTCATACAAACTAGAATCGGGCCCAACTATCGGCCAGGTAAAAAGTCGGTGGTCTACGCCTAGGCTAACAGCGAGTCACTCGACTAAATTACTCAACTAGTGCGAACAAAGCTTAACTGCGCTACTTCAAAACAATCCGCAAGAAAATTACCACTAAAAACTTTTTCGTCATTGTTTAATGTGGTAGTCCAAAAACCCTCTCGCCAATATCCCTGGGCTGCGATTGGTAGTTAGTTCACCGGCGACACGCGGCGGCAACGCGTCTGAAGCAGTGGTCGCAAACGCGGACCGGCTTGAGCTGCCCGAAGCGAGGCAACGGGATCGAGTTGGAACTACATGACGCGCAGAATACTTTGCCTGCAAGTAGAAAGTTTTGTTATTTATCCGTGTTTTTTTGTTTCTGTTGATTACACAACACTGCTCGCACACTCACTGCGGGCGCCCGTCGCACAGTCGCGACAGCAATATAATTACGCGCGAGCGATAAGGATGGGTAGTTTGGGGTCATTGGACAAAATTCTACGTGCTCACGGACCAGGCTTTAGTTGTTCTTTTTAATTAGCTGTAGAAATAGATTTTTTAGTAGCTTTCAAATTGAAAATAACTTACTATTGAAGTCAATTTTGTAAAAGTAGTCTTCAATCAAACATCGTTTGATATAAAATGCATGGGACACTCTGGAAGTCTATGGAAGTCGTAGAGTAGAAATAAAAAAACTCATATAAAATCTCATAAAGCTCATTTTTAGTTCTTACTCCGTTAGTCCGTAGACCGACGATCTTGTGAAGATCGTAATGAAACCCTTGGAATTGGCTTTTGTCCAGCAGTGGTCGTCTTTTTCTTGATATAAGCACAGAATAATAATAAGTACTACGTACAGAAGTTTTACTTCGCGAAGATATTTAAAAAAATGTATGCTGTATGTCATTTAACAATATGGTGTAATTTAGCCTGTCTCAAGAGTCAAGCACCATTTTGTTGACAAACGTCAGTGATCGGCACTGCGTCGAAGCTATAGGGCTGACTTCGGTAAAATGATGTGATGTGCCAAACTGCGGAAAATGGCGGAGGAAATACACGATTTAGCATGAATTATCATGAATAATATTAACTACTTATTTACCTCTCAGTGTCTTGAGGCAACTTAAAAAAGTACATTCTGTGTTTTTATTACTATTTAGGCAGTTAAATACTGCACAGTATTTAGTACACCATTTTCTTTATTTTGTTTCATCATACACAAGAATACGCGTGCGTGAGTCAATGTTCGCTCGTATGTGAGGCCTTGTCGAATAGTATCCTGTAGGTGGGCCATCGTGCGTGTTTTGTTTTCGATGTAAACTCGCGGAGATGAACAGGCCTGATAAGTAACAATAGCTTGAAGTACTGACCGCAGTTCCGGCAGTGGTGGCGCCGCCGGAACGCCGTGAAGTGCGCCGACGCCGCCCGCCGCCGCCGGACGCCGGTCTTATGTCCCTGTGTAGTACTGTNAAAGGCACTATCCTTTCTAGAATAAATAGCTGAGATCAATTCTTGTATTGAAAAAGGTTTTATTAAATAACTATTAACAGCATTGATTTGATTGTCAAAAGAGTAACTAGATTTACTGTTAACAAAGTCTGGTGTATATATCTGAAGAAAGTCTTGAATCCAGGTGTTATCACTATTGTTGCTGGAATATGTTTTGTTAAATTTACGCATATATTTCCAGATCCTTGACATAGGAGTGCACCGGTTAAAGGAATTGCATAATTCAACCCAGCTATTAGATCTTACTGTTTTTAAGGTAAGTTTTTTAAGTGCTTGCAGTCTTTTAAATTCTATGTATGTTTCATCAGAAGGATTATTTTTGAAATTAAGGTAGGCTGTTTTCGATTTTACAACTGCCTCAGAGCATTTTTTGTTCCACCAAGGCAATGGAGGAGTCTTTGCCGACTTTTTCCTCAGAGAGATATCAATGAAAGTATTTTCAGGTGAATTAGAAGATGGAAGCGAATTTTTAACTGCAAGATGTAAAATTTCACAAAAACCAGTATATGCTTCTAATGAAGTAGAATTTTCAGCCTGAAAATTTGATAGTAATATATCAACATTTTCTTTATACGCTTTCCAATCTACCATCCTAAGGTTAGGGAAGATGGGCATATTTGAATTATTATTTGTAGGACCACTATTTACATTATTATTTACAAAAACTTTAATATTTACAGGAAGGTGGTAGCTGCCAAGTGGATCATTATGTACAGACCAATCACAAGAAAGAGCCAATGATGGTGAAACCAAGGACAAATCCAGGGCGTTTGGACGCCAAGTCAAAGAACCAACTGTTGTTACTTCACCGCTATTTAGTAAGACAAGACCATTGTCATCAATAACCTCCAGAATATCTCTACCTCTTGAATTCACGGTATTGCACCCCCATGATGTATGATGAGCATTGAAATCACCAGCAAAAATCATTGGTGCAGGAACAGATTTTACTAAAGATTCAAATTTATGTTTATTAAAAGATGGAGTACAGTTTGGTGGGCAATAGAAACTAACAATACTAATTTCTTTTTTATTTTTAGAAATTCTGACACAAATGTTTTGTAATGAACTATCAGAGTATGTATTTATATTTCTGTAATGTATACTGTTATGTATTAAAATAGCTACACCATTGTGTTTGTTACCAATATCATTTCTCTCTATTTGATATCCCCTTATGTTAAAGGGTTTATCAGGTGTAAGCCATGTTTCTGAAATTATTGCTACATGTATGTGATGTTCGTATAGAAAACGAGTTAATACAAGTTTATTACTNCTAAATTTATTTGTAGGAACAAATAGGTTTAAAATGAGTACAAAACAATGGTGGCAACGTCTGTATAATACAAGAAGTGATCCCGTCATCTTGACGTTCATTCTTCCGCCGCTTCTTCTCAGCACCGACCCATTGTTGTCCCGAAGTGGTGGTATCGCAAGCTATATTTGGGACGTGTATAAGTGCCCTGGAAAGGGCCTATGTACTGAATAAACTATTTAATTTTTATCACGAGAACTCATCCAGTAGAAAAATCAACACCGGTGATGCCATTATGTGATTTATGACTACTGTGGCTGTACTGAAATAGCCACGAAAAAGAAAAAACAAACAGTGTTGTTTGTGACTTTTAAATAAAACTAGCTTTCCGCCCGCGGCTTCGCGCGCGTGGACTACATTTCTTTGCTATAAACCTCACGGAGCCCGAGACCTTTCCAACGAATGCAAAACCGCGGAAATCGGTTCGTGCGTTCTGGAGTTATAGCGTCAGGAAGGAAAACCCGACTTATTTTTATATAGTAGATAACTATTAAAACAACGTCATCAAGTGAATCAAAAAGGGTGAAGAGATAAGGAAGCACAGTTACCTTGATGGTGGAGATGTTGAACTCCTGTCCGGAGTCGTTGTAGACGATGGACACGTAGTCGTTGCCGATGTACTTGCGCTTCTCGTTGCAGTTGGGGTCCTTGGCCAGGGTCGGCATCGCCGTCGCCACGTGGAACAGCACCTGCCGACGTGACTCACTGTGAGTTTGTTATAGGATGAAATTATCTACCAGTTCGATTCCAGATGGGAAAAGAAAATTGAATTCGAACTCAAATTCAAATAATTTATTTATGAAACACAGGTAAGGAGTATGATGTACAAACAAAAGATGTGTTCAAGCCGTGATCAGCCTTGTCGGCATACAAATGTTAAAGCGTGATTATAAGTAGGATGACTTATCTGAACTGTCCGGTATTTGTGCTCAAACAGTTTGCCTGAGCAAATTCGATTGGATTTGATTCTGTCGCGTGACTTCTGCAAGTTTAATTTTTTTTAACGTCGGGAATTACTTTGCGCATACCTACTAGTCTATGGGGAGTGGGGACGACCAGTGGTTTATGTGGGACTCTCCCCACCTGCTCACTAAAGACGGGGCCTACACACTAAAACCCGACACGGTGTCCACGGAGTTCAATGAAACGAAGCAGTGAGTTATTGTCTTAATTTAGACATTCGTCCGCTTCAGGCTAGTTTCGCTCTCCAGGGAGTCTCTCCGGCTTCGAGGGGTCCCCCATTCCCCTACGCCAATTGTTTTTTTATAGAGGTTTTTGTCCTCGTGGTCCGGGTGTAACAGGACCCCCGGTTCGCCATACCTCGTTACGGTCTGCTCTATGCCGCTGCTCAGTCTGCCGCCGCCTGTGGGGGTTTTAGATTAAAGATGTCCCTTGCAGTCTGCCCACTCACTCGTGGGTTACGGGTTGTCCGACAGGCCCGCCGAGTTGACGAAACCACTATTTGCAGGCGCCAGCACTGACCTGCATGATGTCGTCGTGCCAGACGTAGGTGTAGTGGCCGTCCTTGCCGCCCTTCTCGAGGTTGAGGAACAGGTGCGGCTGCTCCTCGCCCGCCGCCAGCGACACCAGCGTGCCCAGCGCAGACAGGAACTCCGCGTATCTGAAGAGAAATATACATCTTAACCGCCTAAAGCCTGGTCCGTGAGCACGTAGAATTTTGTCCAATGACCTCAAGCTACCCATCCTTATCGCTCGCGCGTAATTATATTGCTGTCGCGGTTGTGAGTATGCGAGCGCGACCAGGCTTTACACGTTTCATCGATTTCCGACTAACGTCGTGGTCTCAAAGACTTGGTCAATGTTTAGTGATTAACAACCCTAGATAAACTTGACGTATTATTGAGAAACTCAATCAATAGCGGTGACGTCATTACCTTACGCTGCCATATTCATTCTTCAATATTAATACTTCGTTGTCATGTTGTCCGGGGCCGACGTATAAAACTCCGACCTAGAAATAAAACAGAAAATTAGTAATGTTTCTAAAGCCTGGTCCGTGAGCACGTAGAATCCCGTCCAATGACCCCAAGCTACCCATCCTTGTCGCTCGCGCGTAATTATATTGCTGTCGCGACTGTGCGACGCGCGCCCGCAGTGAGTGTGCGAGCGCGACAGCAACATAATTACGTGCGAGCGACAAGATTGGGCAGCTTGGGGTCATTGGACGGGATTCTACGTGCTCACGGACCAGGCTTTAGTAAACCAGCTTCAAACACAATTTAATACCGTGTGAAGGGAGAGAAGGGGTAGACGAAAGAAAGGCAGACGGAGAGACGAAGAAATAGAAAGAGAAAGGGATGGGTTTACGCGTCACCTTGTAGGTCTCGACGGGCGGCACGAGGTCGAGGTTCTTGATGGTGCGCTCGTGCTGCGCGCCCGACACGCGCAGCGGCCGCTCGTTCAGCGGGTTGGAGATCGTCGGCGCCTCGCCTGCGCACACACCACACCAGTTACGTCACAACCACAACCTATACAGAGTGTCTCAAAACAAAGGGTAACCTTGTAACTCGATAAGCCTCACGAAGGCCTTTCTATTATACAATTTTGACCAGGTAAAATATCACGGTTTTGGAGATTTTTAAGTTTTTTTTTTGTATTTTTCAGAAAATTGCCATCTGCGATTATGATGAGAGATTATGAATTAAAGGATAGTGCCAGGGTCTGGACCAAGTGTTGCCCAGAATCAACCCATAGTGCATTTTGTTCCTCAGGCCTATACTAATGTGTAAACCGAAGCGCACTGACATCTATACCTGGAGTTAAGAGAAAAAAAGTTTTGTTTTGAATTATTTACATACAAAATATCATCGATGTATGCGCACTACGCATAAGAATTTGCGATTATGGCATTAAATAACACTCGCTATGTTGAACTTAACCATATTGCATCCGTACACGTTACTTTAGTGCGATTTAGACATTCTTTATAAACGATCTAGCGCTGTTTTAATTGTTTGGTAAGTTGACAGAAATTCATTATTTCCAAAATGAAGCAAGAAGTGTTGCTCTCTATCCTTGCAAAAAATCTATGTATTGGTGTATCACAATTGATTATTGAAGTTATTGTAAGCTAAAACTTCTTGCCCCATTTTGGAAATAATTAATTTCTGAAAATACCAAACTAAAAATACAAAAAAGATCTTGAAAACTGTGATATCTTTACTAAGGTCAAAAGATATTAGAGAGATCACAAGGAGGCCTGCCGACGGTTTCTGGGTTACCCATCATTTTTGGGACACCCTGTACAGTAAGAAAACATAGTGCACTGTGCACGTACCGGGCACCGGCGGCGTGATGGGGTAGGTGCTCATGTTGTGGTACAGCTGCAGGAACACGAAGGCCGGCGTGACGCCGCCGCCNCCGCCAATCTCTCTCAATACATAGGAAAGACTAGGCCATAGAGAAAAGTAGCAACAAGGCGCAACGTCAAGTACGTCAAAGTCAAATAGATGTCATACCATAGAGTCAAATAGTTTTCTTTTTCGTCGGAAACAAATATCATATAAGTATAGATGAAATGAAGCTATGCTGTGAAACGTGCTCAAACGTGCTCCTGCAGCCCGATTACGGTAACTTTTAACGTCAACAATCCAGACACGCTTCTCGATTCTGCGATACGATTGGTCGTTCAACAGCGTACGTCAGCTGTTTTGACCAATCGTATCGCAGAATCAGAAACGCGTCTGGATTGTAGACGTTATAAAAGTTACCGTAATCGGGGCTCTGTGCCTGTGCGTGTGTTGTTGAGGTAGTCCTTTCAAGGTATTTTCAAGGCTTCAAATGATATCCACGTGTAGATGCAGATTCAGTTTTATTTAAAGTAACTAAATAACTAAAACCAGCCAACCAGCTATTAAAGGCATGTAGACCATCAAGGTTTACTTGCTTTGGATAAAAGGTTTAGACGAACCGTTAAAACGGTTTTAAGCGGTAGATTTCCTAAGGTGGTGCGTGGTGAAGTGATGTGATGATAGTCTGCTGCAAAACTCTCTCTCTATGTTCCAAAAAAGATCTTTGTAAATCTGATTCTTTTTTGTCTATGCTATAACTGTCATCTGTCACATCAGCCAATCCATAGAGAAAAGTAATACATAGGAAATAGAGAACCCTCTCTGTCAAATTTTTGAGCCTACTAATTGACAGCCTGGTGTTAAATTCGCTGTACTTAACCTACGTACGTAACGCTCACATACACACATAGTACACGCACACATACATACATAAAGTCCACGCACACATACACACAGTTCACGCACACATAGGCCCTCATAACCTTCAAAGAATTATTGTTTTTTTGATGTACAATGTAGAATTTTTTCAAATCCATTATTTTGAAAGTATTAATCTTTATGGTGTACGTATTGTATTATTTTCAAAACAATGGATTTGGAAAAATTCTACATTGCACATGGAAATGCAAATAAACAAAAACTTTTCAATTTAATAATTTTACTTTATTTATGAACACACATAATATTATACACCAAAAGCGTCTTTTCGCAAAGTTTTCAACAACACTAAAAAAGCATTTGCACTTTGAGAAAACTCAGATCACTTGTTAACATAACAGAAAGTTTCTTCGCGATTNGATGAAGAGTTTATAGGTTTGTCTTTTTGAGTAATTATGATTTTAGTAATAGCATTGGTTAGAATAGTCATAAAAAAGTCTGATTTAGTCAAATTTTGTACTTGTGTTTCAATGTTTCTCATTGTTAATTGCGGGAATGAATTTTCATTAAATAAATCCGAAAATTTGGTTGCTTTTGATCTAATTTTGTTTTCTTCTATTTTAAGTTTTTTTTGGGGACACGTATTGGATATTGCGATGTGGTTACCACCGCAGTTGTTACATTTGGCGTTTTTGGGATCCTCTGTGCAGTTTTTAAAATTATGGTTTTGTGTACAGACGGAGCAAACTTCTGCATTCTTACAATATTTGGCAATGTGCCCAAACTTGAGACAATGCAAACATTGCTTTACTGGCGGGACGTAAACACTGACCTCATGCCTCCAGGAGTCAAGGTACACGTATTGTGGTAGTTCTGTCGATGCGAAGGTAACAGCGACAGTCTGAGTAGGCTGATATGAGACCGAACCACCCTCGTTTCGCACACGACGCATGAATCGCCTGACCTGTATAACATTTCTGGAGCTGCCTATTAAAGAAAATATTCTTTTGTTTGAGAGATCAATAGGTACTGAGTTGAGGACTCCCGTAACTTCGGTATCTATAGCGGGTATTGAAGCTTTCAACCCCAGTTCGTCCATAAATTTTTTATTTTGTATAAACACATTAGCATTATTCGAGAGATCGAAAGTGATACCAATTTTGTACTTATTTATAGGCTTTAGATGTAAAATGCCATTTATACAGTGTTTTCTAATCGAGTGTGAAATCGCAAGTCGGTCCTTGTCAGTGAACAACTGCTTTTCGTCTTTATGTGCGAGGAAAACTATAAATTCGCTTTTTGGACTGTTTTCAGGGTACTTTCTTGAGTACCCCGATACTTTAAAAACCTGGTATTTTTCCATGTTGTCTTCCGTGTCGGAGGACGTGTCGACCGGCGACTCTCCGTCATGAGGATCTTTTTTGCGCTTCTTACTTCCTCCCATCCTTGACTTTGCCACCAAACTTATATACAAACACAAGACAAGATACAAGACGAAATTTAACTCTTTAAAACAATTTTACAAAATAAATTGCAATTGGGCGCCTTTCTTGTTACAAGGTTCCCGCCAATCCTCCAAATGACAAGCAACGTGCAATGAATTAGGGATGTTCGATATATGTCGAAATGGATCGATTCAACGGAATACGAATCACTCGATTTTTGTACCATTGTCCGATACAGTAGTATTTGATTCGTTGGTGAATCGATAAACGTATAATAATAACGTAGGATAAACAAGAATGTTTAGGTCGAGGAAAGAACATTAATTAATTTTATATCAAGCGTATGTAGGTACCGACCGTATTTTCACGAGAGTTAGCATGGCCGATAGTTGTGCCCGATTTTAATTTGTATGAAGAATCGGCGTAGTGTGCGCACTCCCATACATGCCCAATGCCCATGCTGATCAACTACAACTACCCGACTAAACTATCGGCCGACGAAAAATCAACGGTGTGCGCCTACTTACTCTTAAAATATTTTATGAAACGTAGGAGAACGTAGGACATAAAAATGTTAGGTTTAGTAAGGGAAAAAAAAGAAATCACATTAGCAAAAAATAATGGCCACGACTTGGCTTGGCGCTGGATGCAGGCCGCTACCAACCGTGCGATGTGGAAGTCATTGGGGGAGGCCTATGTTCAGCAGTGGACGTCCTGTGGCTGAAATGATGATGATGATGAATGGCCACGACATAACCATAACAACTGAACAGCACATCAGAAATAATTACTTAGTCCCAGTAACTAAGCCCTTGTCGTCATACTTGTCGTAGTAAGCTAAATACTTGTGTTTCTAGTGAAGTCAAGTATTAATTATTTTCATGTTTAAGTAATCGTACATGCCAGATTTTTTATAATTATTACCTAAGCCCCCTTGCTTATTTAGACGCAATTAAACAAAAAAGCCTTTAAATAACCTTTATTGATTACCAAGATTACATTACAACAATTTATACAATCATAACTGTAGTATATTTTTACATAGATACACTCTTTTAATTTTATTCACTCTTATTTACTTTTTACAATTTCCAGTTATAAGTATTCAATTAACCTACAAACTATAATCGTTTTTTGGTTGCGATCAATCAATTTAAAAAAGGATCGATAGCTTTTTTATTCAATCGCAACCAGTTCATGACAATTTCGTATAATAATTGAATATATTGTGACATCGAAACTCATATACAAAAACATAAATACGTACTATCTCCAATACAACAACCAAACTAAATTGTGGTTTTAAGCATTATTTTTAGTCTTTAGTTAATAATGCTAGCGATTGTGTTTAGTAGATATTTACTATAATAATAAAATGATATGTTGAAGAACCTGCCTCGTTTATAAAATAAAAAATAGTGAAATAAAACCAACCCTTCAAACAAAACATAACTGTGCACGTCTTTTAAAATTAAATAAAGAAGCGACAGTCTCCGTAAACCAAGTAAGTGTGGAGAAAAGATATGAAAGCAATGGTTGCATCGTTTACCATCACAAGAACGTTATTGCCCGCTTGCCATAATTAATCCTAATCAAAATCCGTCATCAACTGGCAATTCCAATCCGTTTTCGATCAAATATCCACAATTTTCGATGCTTTTACTTACACTTACATTCTTCTTCTTCTTAAAGTGTCGACAAAAAACCTACACAGTGTCAGCCCAAAACTCCGATACAAGAGTGGCGTTGTCAGCAGCATTCATTAAATCCTGAGTGCAGTTGCTCGGACACTCAGGGTACGACATCATGTGCTTCATCGACTTACATAGTCGTAAAAACTATATGAAAATGTAAAAGCATTGAAAATGTGGATATTTTGACCAAAAACAGATTGCAATTTGAAAGTTGACGGATTTGGATTGGGTTTGATTATGGAAAGCAGGCAAAGATGAGGAGTTTTTTTTTTATAGTTATATGCATAGGTATGTAAGAGACGAAGTAATTTATTAAAATGTATGTCTTTCTTAATATAAACAAACAATAGTTCTAGTGTAGTTAAAGGGAATTACATGAGAAAAATAAGGAATGGCCGTAACATCATTAGATATAATTCATTAAAATAACTTAATTTCTACGGAAATAATGAAAGGTATTTTTTACAAGTAAACCTAAGGTATTAAGTACGTGCTCCAAGATATATTATTAACTTTGCAACGAAAAAAGAGAGATAAACTTAAAAACAGTAACAATAAAGATATAGATAAGATATATTATAACCCTTTGGAACATCATAGCCGAGATTAGGTCCCCATAATCTAAATATATATTTAGGAACCTAAATATATAATAGTTGCGTATGCCAGAGCACAGCTTCTGTTCAGACTCCACGACATGAAAAAATCGTTTTAATCCAAATTATTTTCTTAATTTTACTTTTTAATAACAAAAACGTTTTCCTTGTTGTGGAATCATGATCTTTTTCACACTTTCAGCAGTTTAATACTAAATAGAGACGGAATATAATCTATAACGTGTTTGGGATTTAATCTTTAACACAAATACGCAATCTAGATAACAGATGGCGCTGTAAGTATTAAAATAAAAACAATGCACAATGGCTATCGTATGACTAACGCCATCTGTTGAAAGCTGGCGGGAATATATTTTTAACGTATGCACAGTGATTGATAACGTGATGGTGAGATTTCGTTAATAAAAGATAGTGTTCTTACCTAAATACTACGGATAAAGGCAGTCTATCTATTAGCTATCTATGTAAAGATTCGTATCTACATCACATTTACTTTAAGCTGAGATGCAAGCGATTCGGCGAATATTATGTCATCAATAACATTTCTTCTCAATCCCAATGCAGTAGGCAACAACTTTACTTAATTTTCAAAATAAAAAGTATTCTTGTCTATGGCGCACCGGCTTTTTACGCGGGAAAATCAAACAGCACAGAGAACGTCGTCCTTGTCCTGTAATCTGTCTTCTTGTAAAATTATTAAAAAGACAGACCAAGTCAAGAAAATTATTAATATTATTTACAAAGCAAGCCTAGAAAAAATGCTGTTATTCATGCATTTAAAGCTTGTCTGTGCTCTGTTAGACATTGCCTTGACTTTTTGTTGAAAATCTGTGGTTTTAAATCTGTAAGTACTTACCTACTGCCTACCTTGATAACGTTCGTAAAGTAAATTCTATCACTGAAACTTAGTTCAATTAAGTAACTGAATTAAATTTCAGTGCTAGAATCCTGTATTCATGTTTATTGGAAAAGTTTGTCTCTAGACAAACGACGATTTTTCAATCGTCGGATAACTTTTAACTGAAGAATAAGTTTGGCACATTGACAGTTTCAGTATGGGAAATATGTCAAAATGACAAGTTTATTCTTCAGTTAATACATAGATATCTGACGATTGATAAATCAGCCCTTAGAAGAATTTTTTCGCCCGACATCTCTGCTAACTCACTGTGCACCGATAGAGGTCCTTTTACATTGCGACTTTTTGCAGCGATACAAACGCGATGCAGCATCAATACAGTCGCTAAACATGGTCTTTACACACACGCGAAATAGAAGCAATGATACAATCGCGTGACTGTAAAACGCGCGTTTATACCGCTGCAATGTGTAACCGTTTCATCCACGAAGACGCGTCCCACCAATTTTTGGTCGAGAGAACGCGGGGTGCGGGGAGTTTGATCCGAGCAATCCGAGCGTCATTATTTTAGTGTGCGTGTGCACTCATGGATAATTTAGTGTGTACCGATAACACACGAACATTAGCGGAAGAATGGTGGCGCGTCTTCGTGGATGAAACGATCCACAAGCTCCCTAAAAACATTATCTGAAAATGACGTTGCTAGTATGCGATCCGCGATGCGAGCTGTTGTCGCGCGCTGTGTGACGTCGGAACGGGTTCCAAGATGGCGCCCGTCTCGCCGAAGAGCGCGCGGTGACTGCTGTGGAACCGCTGGACGCTGTCGACGCTGCTGATACGGAACCCTGGTTGGAGTTCGACTGCCGAGGGGTCTCTGGGGACGCCTGGAAAACGTTTCAAATACGATTATTAACGACTATAGGTCAAGGTACAAGGTTCAAAATAGAGTATCATGATGATGATATTTTTCAAATAATACTGGGAACTAGTGACTGAGTTTGTTCCGGCGTTTCTTTTCAGCGCTTGCCATAAATGTTTGTGTCGAAGCGCTGGTAGGGCCCAAAAGATGAGGAGACATGTAAAGTGCCCCCTCTTAGGACCCTGTTTTACCCCCTTAGGGGTTGAATTTTGCAAAATCCCGTCTTAGTGAGTTTATGAACACCTACGTTCTAAAAGGAACCCCCATGCAAAATTTGCGATTCCTAGCACTTGTAGTTTCTGACATTTCGTGATGAGTGAGTCAGTCAATCAGTGACCTTTCGCTTTTATAGATATACAGGGTGTTGATTTCAATCCTCGCCATATTTATTTAGGAGATCTATTATGACTTATATTAACGCATTATCAGAGGCGGCGTTAAGCGTGGGCGATGTGGGCCACCGCCTACGGCCTCGCGGTACAAGGGGCCTCGCGACTCAAAAATGTTTAAAGCGAGAATAAAACAAAAATAAGCCGTAATGGGTGCGAAACGACTCTGGATGGGTGTGACTCTGCAAAGTATATTATTTGTTATGGATGTGATTCTGGTTTGGTGGCATCTTGCCTAATGGCAAATCGCAAAAACTCTTCCCGATTAATCGGGACTATACGATGTTTACAGTTGATTTTCCAGAATATCGCAAATTCTTTGATACATAACGTTTGTACTGCCAGAATTCATTCTCCTCTGGAATGTCCCCAAAATTCCATTATTTTTGCCGTATCACTTACCGTTTTCGACATATCTGCGTGTGCAAATGACCTGCGCGTATCGATACGATTAATATTATAGGGAGTCCTTCGTACTTACATATATTATGAACCTCAAAATGTATAACTCAAAAACATTTTACGAAACTATTGAATAAATAATTGATTTTTTGCAATATTGCAAATATCATAGTAGGACTCATTGTTAGTACTGCTAAAGTTCATCACCCCTTCAGGAAACACCCAAAATTTCATTATTTTTGCCGTATCTCTTACAGTTTTCGAGATATTTGCATTTGCAACCAATTGTGTATCAGTAATATAGTTACCTCTGTAAATATGGCAAGAATGCAAAGTAACGTCAAGCCGGAACTGGGTGTTGAGGCAAGTTATGCTGGTTATCAGAAAAAAAAAATCTTTGGCAAAATTTGGCATTTTGTCAAAATAATAGGCATTTAAAAAAAATTAAAAAATTCTACTCCCTGTGACGGTCTTTTTACTCGTGTTGCCACAAATCTTCACTTTTTCCAAATTTTTTTTTGTTATGTAACCCTGAATAATGCTTCTTTAAATTGTTATCAAAATTACAAAACCAGCTGTCCAGCTTGGATGAAAAAAAAAAACATTATTCCCAAAAAAAAATTTCAAAATAAAAATTTTGCCTAGTTTAAACTGACTGTACTGAAAAAAAATTGTACTACGCGAGTGTGGCAAGCGACGTCATAATTTGGCGCATTTAATAAGGATTCCAAAATGGTATAACACTTGGTAAATTCTTGCTGTAATTGTCGACATTTTTTGGTTTTTTGGAAATAATCCCGTTTTTAACTGTATCTAACTTGGTTAAAAATTATTATTGTAATGTGCCCAAAATTCAAGTTTCTGGCTTAAGTGAGGTGGAGAAGCCATTTTAGCGGAACGGAGAGGGCCATCTTACCAAGCAGGGATGTTTTTTTTTAAATGCCTATTATTTTGACAAAATGACACATAGATTTTTTTTTATATTTTTGTGATAACCGGCATAACTTGCCTCAACACCCAGTTCCGGCTTGACGTTACATTACGGGACACTCTGTATATATGCATGTAGTACATTGAAAATGTTTGATTTTCTCGTAATTCGTCAGTAACTCGTAAAACTTGGCAGTGTTAATTGTTTTGTTTGTTTTTATTATTTTATAAAATCCGTCTTCAGGTCGCCATAGAACAGGGCCTCGCGAAATCTGTCTTGCCCACATCAAATTATGTGCGTTCCCTTCGAGAGGCCACTGTGGAAAATGAAGGTTTCGTATACATAAAGATTTAGCAGGACCTCTAAAACAAATGTAGCCAGAATGATAAATTTGTAGGTGTTGTAAGTTGGACGCTACCACTCGCCGAATGTGGTCCCTCAGATGAACTATGTCAAATGCCAAATTATTGAATCTGACCAAATAAGATGATTTTGATGAATGGTAATATTTAGGAGGTAAATCGTAGGGCTACATACGAAAATAAGAGCTCTGCATAGTTACTGCAAATAAAGAAAATCCAATCAAACGATGGGCCCTCAGTTCTCCAGTGCACAAAATTTACTTTAATGCTACAAATTGGAACTTGAGACTAAGTTTCTTTAGTAAGGTTTTAATTTCAGCNCTATATGATCGTTCCTCTTTTATTAGTTCTCTTTTAGCCATTAAAATTCCTTTTCCTACATCCATCACTTGCCTATTATATACCAATAACATTGATGTTTATAATATCCTAGCCGAATTTATTACCCATAATAATATAAAATTGTAAATAGTAATGTATATTGTACTTATGTAAATATTATTTTATTTTTATTATTTTGTAATTATATCACACCTAAATTGATCCTATGAAAACCATCCTTTGTTCCGTTTCCATCCGTAATTGATTCGTTTCCCTACCTTTTAACTTTAACCCAATCCCACCCTGTCTAAACGCAATGTCCGCAAAACTTATGGCAAAACTGAACGCAAAAATCAAGAACCCTGTCGTGGCTAAACGCAATCCGCGAGAGCCATAAAGAAAAAAAAAAGTATTGGAATTTATCGACTGAAGTCGCTGTTTGGAAGCAAGTTTGATCGTAGTATGGAAGTTTCCGTACCCTGAGCCAATCTGTCAAGAAATTCCACGACGAGATTTTTGTTCAGCTGAAAAAAGGCCAATAAACTTACGAAATTGAATTTATATTGAAAAATATAAAATTTATCGTGGGGCGGTAATCGCCGCGTGACACATTTTGCATTATTTGGGTGGATGTAATTTTCGTAGAGTTAATTTTGGTTGAAGGTTTGGAAACGGCAACTCACCATGCCGCCGAAGAAAGCACCTGCGTCTGCGAGCAAGAAGACGGAGCAGAAGAAGAAGGAGAAAGTCATAGAGGTATCCACAAAATATGGAGTCTCGTTCTCATGATTCTAATACAATACTTTTCGCTGTAGGAAGCGCTTTCACTCGCATCATCTGGAATGTCTGAAGTGCCTGACATATTTCAGTGTGTACACCCTTTTTGCGCGAACATACAAATTGTGCAACGATTTCAATATCAAAATAGGTTGATAAAAGAAGATCCCACAAGGGCCGACGCATAGCACTCTATTAATCTAGAAATTCTAATGGAAACAATAATTATTATTACACTTAGGTTACATTATCAGTCCATTGCAAAATGATATTTGAGGTGATCCTCAATTTCAACACAAAAATTTAATTTTGTTTTAACTGTAAACATTTAATCTGTTGAAAAAGCTTACTGATGAAGATATAATAATATACAAAGGGCTATAACTATACTATTTATTTAATTAAAATGCTATAAGGGTCCATGAAAGCAACTTAACTAGCAAATACCGTCTGACCAAAGTATCTTGTGTTAATCAAAGAAATAATAAAATTCCAGGACAAGACCTTCGGTCTGAAGAACAAGAAAGGCGCAAAACAGCAGAAGTTCATTCAGCAAGTGGAGAAACAGGTGAAGAGTGGCGGCATCCACCCCGCCAAGCCCATGGAAGACAAGAAGAAGGAAAAAGAACAGAAACTTAAGGAACAGAAGGAAATGGCAGCACTTTTCAAGCCTGTGCAGACGCAGAAAGTGGAGAAAGGTAAATATCCTACTTCCTACTAATATTATAAATGCAGAAGCTTGTGTGGATGTCTGAATGTCTGGATGTTTGTTACTCTTTCACGCAAAAACTACTGAACGAATTTTGTTGAAACTTTACAGTTTTATTGTTTATAACCCAGATAACCCAGAGCTATAATTTATGACGATATGTGACAAACTAAATTTCATTAAATAAATATAAAAATAATAAAAGACGTGGGTAAAAGCGCCATCTATCGTCATTGGTTAAAATCTACAGCCAAAACATTTTGACGTTCGTAAATATTCATGCGGGGGAAACCGTTAAACGCCATCTATCAACATCATTTCTAATTAAACAAGGTCCACGCGTACGAAGTCGCGGGCGGTCCCTAGTTAGCTATATTTTCTAAGGCTGGGTTGCACCATCTATTACTTTAACTTTGACAAACATCAAAAATCTGTCAAACTCTATACAAAAAACACCATTTATCGTTATAGTTACCTACGATCAAAGTTAGATGGTGTAACTCAGGCTGTCTTTAATTCTGAATCTCATGAATGATAATTGAATTTATATGAATTATAACCGCCGTTTGGTGTAGTGGTTCAGAGCGGACTACTATGCCGAGAGGTCCCGGGTTCGATTCCCGGCCGGGCAGAAATTGAAATGATGAATTTTAATTTCTGTGACGGGTCTGGATGTTACTATGTATAATATGTATGTATTAAAAAAAAAAGTATATAAGTAGTATATCCGTTAAGCTAGCACCCATAACACAAGCATTAAGTTGCTTACTTTAGGGCTAGCTGGCGCTGTGTGAAATTGTCCAAAGATTTTATTATTATTATTATTATTATTATTATAACCTAGTTTCCTGAATTTTTTTTCTATCTGTGATCAGCCAGTATCCAGGCGCCTCCCGCGACCTTCACCAGATCGTCGGTCCACCTAGTGGGAGGCCTGCCTACGCTACGTTTTCCGGCGCAGGACCGGTCTTTGTGGAAATCCTTGGGGGAGGCCTTTGTCCAGCAGTGAACGTCTTTCGGCTGAAATGAACGAACGAACGACCACCGCCAGCAACTTTAATCAGAATCTATATCTATAAAAGCGAAAAGGCAACTAAAAATTGGTAGGCTTACTCTTGAGCTCGAATTCAAGGTATTTGATGCAACATCCTGTTTATATTCCAGGTACTGATCCGAAATCGGTGGTGTGCGCATTCTTCAAGCAAGGACAGTGCTTTAAAGGCGATAGGTGCAAGTTCTCTCATGACTTGACAATTGAAAGAAAGGTGAGGTTTGCTAAACTACTATGATTACTGTTTGAAGCCTTGCCACTTCATATAAAGAACTATACTTATGTATAAACTAGGAAACATTTGTTGCAAAAACTTTTTTTAAAAATTCAAAAAAATTCAAAATTATTTATTTGCATAAAACATGGTACATTTCAGTTATTATCTTGTTACGAGAACAACATGTTTCATCGACATAGCGATATGCAAACATTTAGTCGTCATGCAGTATTATTATTAAATTATTAATAGTCATTATTAATATTACATGATCTACCTCCAATAGAATTTAAATGTCAAAAATATTTATTACAATGCAATTACAATATTATTTTATCAAAACTACATAAGAAATTGCCACTTAGCTTGTGCCTTTACTGGGAATGTACGCTTAATAGCCTTCTGTAATCGGTACAGGCTTTTTTTGCCTATATTTGTTTATGTAATACACATAAATGATATTTCATTACATTTTTCAACATTTTTAGTAGAGATAAAAATTTAGTTTAAAAAAGTTTAGTACTAGTTGTTGTCACTTGTTTAGTTTAGAGACTATAAGTGAGTTTCTCGTTCCAGGCTGAGAAGCGTTCACTGTACGTGGACATGCGAGATGATGACGACAACATGGACAACTGGGACGAGGACAAACTCAAGGAAGTGGTCGAGAAGAAACACGCTGAGGACAAGCAGAGGCCCACAACCGATATTGTGAGTGATTTAGCTTATAAACGCACGCGTTCCACAGTGACCACAGTATGTTATGAGACTATATAATCGGACATTCTCATTTATTTGATGAACCGTATAGAGCTCAGTTATACAAACATGATAGTAAAACTCCCGTTTGAAAATTCCACGTAGTTTTCGCGGTATAAAAATTCAAAGTTACCTATTTTTTTACTTCAAAATTATGCAAAAATATTCTCACTCGTTAAATTATAACATTTAATTCAGAATTGTTATAATACTTCATAGAGCTCTTAAAACTACACGTAATAAGCGTATTAAGTGCTTCGTAAACGCATTCAGTTAATTAGGAAAAATGATTTTAGTTATTTTTGTTTTTATTTTTTTTCTCAATTAAACCTTAATATATGCAAAAAATTTTGATTGCAAGATATAGTCTGATATTTAATGTAATTGTATAAAAAAAATCCATCAGCTTTGATGAGTCCGATGAGTCTTTTATAATGCGAACAGCTAGGGACTGGAATTCGCTGCCTGCTGCTGTCTTTCCCGAAGACTATAATCCGGGCTTTTTCAAGGCGAGAGTGAAAAGGCACTAAAGGGCTATGTAAAGATATGTACCATCCTAGACTGCATCCCACTTAACACCAGAGGTGGAATTGTGTAAAGCAATCGTAATCATTTGACAGTTCATAACGTACAATAAAGTCAGTTAAACAAAGCGTTTGACAGAATAATCGTACGATAACGATTGCTTTACACAATTCCACCTCTCTGGTGCGATTGTGGTCATCTGATCATTTATTTACCTGTCTTGTTGTGTATAAAAAAATCCAAGGTCGATTATGGGAAATATATGCAAACGTCATGCCTTCCCATCCCATCTGGCTGATGATGAAGCTTGAAAATCTACTGCTGCAGTTGGGATTTGAACCCAAGACCTTTCACAAGCCAGGCCACTACTCTGGCAACTGGGCAATGAAGACATTGTTAAACATGTTAAAGTTTCCAAATTATATTATGCCATGAGCAAGCCAGATATGCATCATCATATTATGACAAACTGAAAGTGTATTTTTTAATATACCACGCAATTTTGTATACCCATTCTTATAAGATATGAAATTCAGTGAACTGTTCCTGAATCGAATGTACCTTACTACTGCTATTTTTATTTATTTATATTAACCGGCAGACAGTGGTGACTGAGTTTGTTGCGGCGCTTCTTCTCAGCACTTGCCAAATGTTGGTCTCGAAGCGCTGGTAGGGTAAAAAGATTATAAGACATGTAGAGGCTCCTTAAGAGCAAAATGACGATTTGTAAGAACTATTTATTAGTCTAAACAAATAAAGAAATTTGACTTTGACTTATGTAGATGAAAGTGTTTCTGGGAATCTTTTTAATAATTCTTAAATTTTTCACAGATCTGCAAACATTTCTTAGAAGCCGTAGAGAAATCCAAATACGGTTGGTTCTGGGAATGCCCGTCAGGCGGCAAGTGTATATACAGGCACGCGTTGCCACCAGGCTTCGTCCTCAAGCGCGACAAGAAGAAAATGGAAGAAAAAAAAAATGAGATATCTCTGGTCGACCTGATAGAGAGAGAGCGCGCGGCGCTTGGCCCCAACCAAACTAAGATCACGTTGGAAACCTTCCTCGCGTGGAAGAAAAAAAAGATCAAGGAGAAACAGGTTAGTTTGTTTTTAAACTTCTATCTATCCCGTAAGTTTTAAAACCAGGGCCAAAAATCGGTGTAGGATTAAAGAGGAGGCCTATGATCGAAAGCGAACCCCCTAAAGGCTGATATAGATATAGTCTGGTCCGGGAGCACGTAGAATTTTGTCCAATGACCCCAAGCTACCCATCCTTATCGCTCGCAAGTAATCATATTGCTGTCTTGACTGCGACGGGCGCACGCAGTGAGTGTGCGAGCGCGACAGCAACATAATTACGCGCGAGCGATAAGGATGGGTAGCTTGGGGTCATTGGACAAAATTCTACGTGNAGCACGTAGAATTTTGTCCAATGACCCCAAGCTACCCATCCTTATCGCTCGCAAGTAATCATATTGCTGTCTTGACTGCGACGGGCGCACGCAGTGAGTGTGCGAGCGCGACAGCAACATAATTACGCGCGAGCGATAAGGATGGGTAGCTTGGGGTCATTGGACAAAATTCTACGTGCTCCCGGACCAGACTATAATCTATATCAGCCTTTAGGGGGTTCGCTTTCGATCATAGGCCTCCTCTTTAATCCTACACCGATTTTTGGCCCTGGTTTTAAAACTTACGGGATTTAAAATATGACAAAAAGTTTCAAATCAGGGACATTTCAAACTTTTATGTCCTGTATTAAGTACGGAAAACAATATCTAATTCTAACTTGCCTTCCATGATAGATTAATGTATTAAAATGTTAAACTATATAGGTAGGTTCTAATATTACGAAAACATCATAAAAGGTTTTTTTTAGATTTACCATAAGAATAACTCTCTTCACAGAAATAAAGCATGACTGTGTATTTGTCACATACATATTTTGGTTTGATGTATACTATAAAAAAATTTTCTTTTCTTTAATATACGGCAGAAACTAAAAATGCGTGTCGAATATTTTCATCCAAAAAATCCATAAAAAAAATATCAAGTTCGTCATCACAGTGTTGTTGTACTAATAAATAAATCACAAAAACAAAATTAAAAAGGTAGCCCTTATGGGGCACTTTCCATGTCTCCTTATTTTTAACGTACTATACTTCCCACAGGAAGCGATGGCCAAAGACGAGGAGCAGAAACGGAACGACTTCCGCGCCGGCCGAGCCGTTGGCCTGTCAGGCCGCGAGATGTTTTCGTTCGACCCCGCGTTGGCCGCTGCCGCCGACGCCGACGAGGACGGCGAGACTGTGGCACAAATGGCCTACGACGACGACGACGACGCCGCGCAGTATAGGGACATCGAACTCGAGCTCATCGGCATGGAGGCCTCAGAGGTAACTATTCATCATCATCATCATCAACAGCCCTTTACAGTCCACTGCTGGACTATGAGCCTCCTCCACTATGGTGGAGGGATTTGCCATAATCTCCACGCTTGGCAGGCGGGTTGGAGATCGCAGTTTAAAAGATTGATGTTTTTCAGAGAGCGCTGCTGCCCATTCTCTGTTTGTTGTGTAGTCCCTAAGTCGCCTAAGTAAGGTAACTATTAGGCCAGTAGAATTAGATTTTAAATCGGAAATAATTCCTACAAAAGATTTTATTGCTTTAATGGCTTCATTGGTTGCCCATTAAGACTCTCCTAGGTTTTCGACTTCGACGGAGTTGTGCTTAAGTGGTGGGGGCCCCCGAAAGGGGCGCTTTTTCGGTTATACCTCGTAAAGGACTTACCCTATCGAAAAGTGGTCTTCCTAACGGTTGAAGGGCATTTAATCCTGCATTAAATAAGACCATATTCATATGTTTTGGACAAACCATTCTCGTGCAAATGTTCGGCAAAGTAGTAATTAATGACCCTCTCCACGTCCAATAGCTCGTCACCCGTAAGCTCCCAAGCCTTGTAAAGGGTCGCCTTAACCAGCGTATCCCTGTCAAGGCTCACGAGTTGGATTCGCTTATCCTTGTTCGTCCCAGCCGTTCCTTAACTGCGGTTGCTGCACCTCTTCCTGGCACTCTCCTGAACGAGTCTTTATGGGCAACTAATGAAGCCATTAAAGCACTAAAATCTTTAGTAGGAATTATTTCCGATTTAATTCATTTTTGTGTTTAATTCTACTGGCCTACATGTATAGCTTATTTTGATTCTGTTCTGCGATCTCCCAGCTTTTTTATTATGCGACGATGCTACCGTGCTACCGACCGTGTACCGTGTGTCCTCACTATATTTTACCAACATTGTTGACCTGTGTTACTTAAGGCTGCCGCGACACAAGCACAGCTTAGTGCAGCAGCCGCTAGATAAATATAGACTGTAAATTTTTTTTGTTGGCAAATAAAACACTTACTTTTTTTATGCTAGTAGATATCTCGAGGCATTTAGAAGCCGCCGAAGCGACGAGGACGACATTTATCTACCTTCCTATAGTCGTGTCGGGCCGCACGACGCCTGTCTACTTACCTACAGTCTAGGCCTGTCGGGCCACGAGATTTTTTCGACCCTGCCTTGGCTGACAGTTTATTTGTAATGGATAATAAACATCGAGGGAGAAACGTGTTTTTGGAGCGTCCTGTTCACTTAGGAGCCATCCATAAAGTACGTCACACGAATTTCATGATTTTTTGAGCCTCCCCTCCGTCCTTGTCACAGGTGGTCACATTTCTGAGACCCCCCCCCCCCCTCCCTAGTGTGACGTCACATGTTTTGCAATTTCACATCAAAAAATTATGAAATTAAAACAGCAGTTCCGAAATTAGTTTTATTTCCATTTAAATTAAGTACTTTTNCTCCCTAGTGTGACGTCACATGTTTTGCAATTTCACATCAAAAAATTATGAAATTAAAACAGCAGTTCCGAAATTAGTTTTATTTCCATTTAAATTAAGTACTTTTTTATGAAATCAACATTATATTAAATATTTGAAACAATTGAAATGTGATGTCACGAAACTTAGGACCACTCCCCCCCCTTTACGTGTGACGTACTTTATGGTTAACCCTTTACACATACGTAAAGTATTAAAATTTTCTTCGCAGGCGGACGACACGGGCACAAAAGCGTCTGAAGACCGACTTACGCAGCTCGGCAAGGGGCTACCGAACGGCGACCACGCGCCCGCGGCCTCAGAGGCCGCAGAGACCGCGGAGGCCTCAGAGGCCGCCGTGCCCATCAACGAGAACCTGTTCCTCGACGAGGACCTGGATGAGGAGCTGCAGAACCTGGATCTTGAGGACTAGTGGTCGAAGTACATTCGGAGCCGAGTCGATGAGCCCTGCATCATCATTATCACCCACTTACAGTGCACCCTTACGCCCGTTTCACAAACTATGCTTGCTTATGTGAAGCAGCAAATCGAACGCACAGCGTTGAGAGCTCTGTGATTGGTTCTTGTGTCACCCTGTGCGTCCACGCGCACTGGGGGACCTCATGGTAATGTTTTTGAATACGGGCGTTAGATTTAAACAAAAAGGGAAGCGACGGCATAAACGTCTGTCCTAGAACATCAGTTTTGACAGCTCCCAATCGGTCTGACCTTCACGCAATACGCGCGCGAAGCCGTCATGTGTTTTTAAAGGTGTACGAAAAATTTATGAACTTAAAAAAGTCCACGACATCAGTTTTCATTTATAAAATGCAATGAAACATAAAATTTCCACTCGGTGACTCTGTCATTCGCCATGTTGTCAGGAAATTGTTTTTTCTAAGCAACATAAGCACAATATCAATATGCCATGTCTTCCCTTTTTTGTTTTTAGCACTTTTTATGTAGGGCTCATTCGATAATCGATTTTAATTTAATTTAAGGGGCGACTGTGAAATTTGGGGAGATAATATTTCACCCATATTTTAGGTAAAATATGTTTACAACCAACAATCAGCCCTGTGAATAGCTATGGTGATAAAAAAATAGGATTATTGTGCTTGCCAACTCTTTCCAGTCTGTTGAGTGCAGAGCATTCGCGGAACCGCGGCCTCCTGTGGGAGGTACTTACTGGACCCATAGACAATACAGTGTTGCCACCTTAAAAAAGAATGCCCTTGAGGTTTCACAGTGAAAGTGTCTAATTTACTAATTTAATACAATTTTTGGTTATACTGGGGTTAATTCATTTTAAAGTGCTGTGCTGCAAATATTTTGTTACAGTAATATGTTTTATATTTTCACGCTGTTTCAATACAAGTTATCTTTTATTGTATTAAAATAAAGGCAACAGTAATGCTGAACCAATATTTATTGTTGGCAGCACATCCTTCCTTCAAATTCAGAAGTTTAGAAATAAACACTATAGAACTATTTTTTTAACCCTTATTCAAATGCGAGCTGGTAGGCATTTTTTTTACAAAGTTGAAGTGGATTTTGGGTAATTGTGGGTCACTTATTTCATATTTTTGATCAAAATTTATTAAAAAATAGGGGAAGGGGTAGTTTTTTGGGTGGTAAATAATTTACCATTATCCATTCATGACTACAAATTATTCAATGTTGGTGGTAAAATAGTTACCATTGTCCGTTTTGGTTTATTTTTGGTTCTTGACTAGTGACTTCCTCTTGGTTCTACCTATATTTTATTAAATATTTTGGGAATTAAATAATATTGTTTTTATAAAAATAATATTTATTAATATTGGTCATTATGCTTACAATTATTATGCTTACCTTGAGTCTGAAACTAACAATAAATTCACTAATTACGTAATGTCAAAACGTTACGTAAACAGTTATCAAAATAACTTAAAATTTCTCCAAATATTTATTTAGTTTTATTTGTGCACATACAAAAAACAACAGTTATTTTTATATATCATCAAACTTTTGTCAAGACGGGATCGGACAGTGGTAAACTATTTACCACTTCTTTAAAATGTCTAAACTATATGAATAAATCAATTGCAGACGCTGCCTATAAGTGAGACTATACAATAAATGTTATAGTTTAGGATTTTGAATCGAAAAAACACTTATCAGAATTTTCGTTGAACAAAGTTTCAAAAATACCAAAAACGCGCGCTAAAAACTTGAAATTTTTCACACCAAAACCGTTTGGTTGACTTTGACATTACCTGACAGTGACAAATGACGTTGAAAAGTTGTAAGATGGCATAGATAAGTAAAAAAATATATTTAAAAATATAAATAAGTGACCACAATATCTTAAAGTATCACCATATCGAAAATTAGGATCCTTTTTTAAAAGTAAACGAAGTGGTAATATATCTACCTTTATTTGAATAAGGGTTAACATGCGTCCTTAATTATCAATGAAATTACATTGTAAAACGAAAATGTAAATAAAATAAATGTTAAGAAAATACAGGTTTTATTTCAAAAGGCGTTGAGTACATTTTAAGATGTTCAAAAGAAGAGTTTAATAATCTTTGTCGATGGTTAACCATCTAGCAGGGTTGTCTATAGTAATCTTGTCAATGGTGGCCTGAGAAAATCCCTTGGTTTTCATTCGCGGCAGTATGTTGTTAATAATGTGAGAATATCCGTGACCACCAAAATCAACCTGAAAAATGATATTTCAAAAAATGAAAATAAAGAAAATTGACATTATGGGCCCAGTGTGTTGTAACTCTCTAAAACCTATCTTATGATAATTATGACATCTATTATACTAATATTATAATGCTGAAGAATTTGTTTATTTACGCGCTAATCTCAAGAACTACTGCTCCGATTTGAAAAAAATATTTCAGTGTCACCACTGCAACTCCTGTGTAGCCAGGATCTACAGCTTGACCGCCACAAAAACCCAACCAATGAAGGTCAAGTTTGTCCCGGGGGAAAGTTAAACTGTCATTGGACCCGCAACGAAATTAATCAGAAGAACATAGGAGGAGTTCGAAATTAAGGTTCGACTCTATTTCACGCGGAAACGGTTTTTTACGCGTACGAAGTCGCGGGCACAGCTAGTAGGTAAATAATAATATCAACCTTCATGCTACCACAAAAATGCTACTGAGAGGATGAATCTTATCACGACATAGCATAGGTCAAATACGACATAATTATCATATTCCTTATTAACATTGAGTCACAGGACGTCCACTGCTGAACATAGAGATTGGCCGATTAGTTGTGGTCTGCATCTAGCGCCTTCCTGTAACCTTTATGAGGTCGTCACAATCTTACGGCGATACCTTATGATGATCGATCAAATATAGGAAGTTATGTCTTACCAGTCTGTGCTTAGTGTGTATATCGTGTGACATGAGGACCCGGTCCTCCTTGCCCTCATCCACGAGGGTTTTGATGAGGTCTATTCTCTGCGCATCCGAGGGCATATCCGTGTCCACGTTTAGCTGGTAGTAGGACACCTCCACGCCGAAAAGGTCGAATTGACAGTACACGCCAAGCTCCGCGAATTCCAGAAGCTTCTCTGGTTCCAACAATGTTCCTGGAAAGAAGAATACGAGCAGTGGCGGATTTACAAAGGACAATGTTCATTTCTGGCCTGGCGTGGACAAGCTGCTAATGAAAATATGAATTTGCCAAAAAATTTTAATTAATTTTTAAAGTATTCACTTAGTGTAACTTTGTATCAATTTGCCTTTATAAAAATCCAATTTAAATAGTACTTTATGTGATAATTACAACTTCCTGTCTTTATCACTCAATTCAGTGTTGCCAAAATGAATCTTATCGGTAAGAATCGATTCATATCGATTGGTTTTCGACTATGACAATTAGTATTTTTTTAAACACGTATTCATTAAAATGACATTTATAAAACCTTTTTAATATTCCAATAACACTACCAAAAATATTTAAATAACTAAATGGAACCTTATTTCACACACACCTTATTATACACCTTATTTCGAGTCATCAAAAAATACAATCGATTTTTATATCGATTATTTTTATTCATCACCATATTATTAGCATGGCAACACTGAAAATATTGTCACAGCTGTTATATCTGTCATTCGCTTTGTTTTGTATTTTTCATCGTGAGTGTTTAGTTCTCAAAACCAAGTCTTTGCCAAAATAAAAGCAGAAGAGTGTTGTATAAGTTTCCCTTTTGACGACTTTATTTTTTTGACCATGGTCCTCGATGCTTCCCTTCCCGAGGACCCTGGCATACTCTCGAACTACGAATCTCACTCAACCAATGAATGACCAATGGCTCACTTTCGGACATCGATTCGAACCTTGCCTAAACGCCGACCACGGCTTACGTATGGACTCCGACCCGAGCCCCAATGTTAACCCCAGCCCGATTTTGGATAATGCAACCAGCAATTCCTCAATCTCATGAGGAACCTATGATATGTATCAATTGTATAGCTGACATGATGCAGAGGAGGCGACATAGCCTAGAGCTTATTAAGTTCAGTTGGTTATAATGTCAGTGGATGACTCCTCAGCTGGTAAGTTATTGAATGAGCGTGTGGACTTGTTGAATACCTTTTACAATGTATTTGATCAACTACCTTTACCGTAGATTACCATAATCCTAATAAAACTTTTTTTTTGATTGATAACAGCAGTGTATGTTGTCACTCATGTTGGACCGTGTCCACGGTGTGGCTCTGCACCAATCAAGGACAAATAATATTTCAAATGAAGAAGCAACCACTAGCACTGGTCACAGTTAACGTGGATTATCTTTGTTACAAATACGTTCCATAGACTGCATATTAACACGGAAAGAGAATCACATATTCGAAAATAATGTAATAATGGAACAGATTTCACCTCGTCAAGTAAGTTTTTTTATAATTATTTTCATTATATTTTATTAAAGACATTGGCTTGATATATTTGAACAAAGTGTATATTTTTTTCTATACAAATACTTCTTACTGATAGATAAAAATTGACATCACATCTCAATATCTTAAAGAATGAATTTTGAATGATACCATAATTAATTTCTTTGTTTCAGCTGCGGGGATCTGACCAAATATGTCATCCCTGATGGCAGTGAGCTGATCGAGCTGCTACATATGCTGTGGAGCCCCAACAAACACATGATGGGACGAGGATTCATTTGCCCTTATATTGGCCTAATAACAGTAGGTCGCTGTGCTCATGTTATGACAATTTAGTGGTTTTTGAGCTGGGCAAGGTATCAGGGACATGTATTTCCACCTGCCTAGTTCCTAGACAATATTTTATTGACCCATGAGTCAGATAAAAATAATAATAATGAAAAAATGGTGTTTTATTTTGCTTCTAACCTTTCTAGTCTTAAGCCAAAAAAAATTTTTTTAAGGACTTGGATACAAAATTATATTTATATTCTGTTTCTTACTGGTATAGACTATTTAATAAATAACAAATTACATGCTGTAATGTCTGTCCACCTCAGGCCAAAGGTCCCATACTAAGTGGGCATAACCCTTTGCCGCCAGTAGGCCATTCAATTTTTGCCGCCCCTACCTACTGACTTTTGAAATTCAATACGTTAGTTTAATCCCGTTATTAGTATGATTGTGAACTTAATGATATTTCTGTCAGTTACTAGATTATTATTGCAACCCGCTATGTACTGAAGAGTTTAATATTGACCGAAAAACAGCAGCATGTACTAAATACTAATCATAAGGTGGAGAAAGGCATGACTTAAAAATACCTACACTATATGAACACAGACAAAATAATGTGTAGTCAGTAAACATTGTTTTTGTTAAATATTTTTATTGCACTTAACAGTTTAAAAACAATACAAACAATTTCTATTAAAATATAACATGTTAACAATCCAGTTAATGGTGACAGACAATGAGATCAAATAAGTTTTACATTATTTTCTTGCGAGATTTTAAATTTTCAAAATCATTAATTATAAGAATCGTAAGAAATCTTTTTCATAAGCTCTGACTCTGCACAAAATA